CTTCCAAGACAAGGTCTCAATAAGCCCTGAATTCATGATCCTCCTGCCTCTGCCTCCTGAAAGCTGAGATTGCATGTGGGTGCCACCAAACCCAGCCTGTCAGTGAGAATGTGTCTGATAAGGAAACTAACAGGTGATAAGGAGAGACATACACAGACATAATCTGAGCTCCTGGATCCAGCCTTGCTTGATGCCATTTCAGCTGCACTTCCCAATTCACAAGCCCATAAACCCCTTTTCTGGCTTAAAACCAGTTGAACAGGGTTTTGTCCCCTGTAACTAAGAGTCCTGATCAATATCCCATTGAAAGTTCCACATGAATGAAAAGAGACTCAGACAGTTCAAATTTTTTCCTGATGTCCAAGGAGATGGTTCAGCAAGTAAAGGTACTTCTTGCCAAGTCTGATTAAAAAAAAAAAAAAAAAAAAAGTCTGGTGGCCTGACTTCAACGCTCAGAACTCACATGGTAGAAAGATAGAACCAACACCCGCATTCTGCAAGTTGTCCTCTGACTTCCACACACGTGCCATGGCACATAAGCGCTCTCTCTCTCCCTCCCTTTCTCTCTCTCTCTCTCTCTCTCTCTCTCTCTCTCTCTCTCACACACACACACACACACACACACACACACACACACAAAAGAAAATTAAAAACACAAAACTTTTCTTCTAGAACTCAGTAAATCTCAAGATGCTTTGGAGCCCTCTGTGTCAGAGACCTAAAAAGCATTTAGAGCAACAGCAGACCTGCTGACTTGATGATTTTTAACTTAACATCTCAGTTTTAGTCTCCTTCTGTATAAAACACAGGGAGCAGGGCCTGGTGAGATGGCTCAGCAGGCAAAAATCATTTGCCACACAAACCTAAGGACCTCAGAAAGAACTCAGGGTGGAGAGAACCAACTCCTAAACATTGTTCTCTGACTTCTTTGCAAACATAGGGATGCACACACACACTCGTATACACACACAAATAATAAACATTAAAAAAGAAAAACAAAGGCGGCTGATGCTTAACAGGATGACCCATGTGTCACATAGTTCCAACTGTGGTGACAGCTGTCATTACTGTCAGTCTTTATGAAGCTCAGAAAGATGGCTTGCTGTAGTCAGACACCAGTGTCAGAGCAAGGACCTGAATGCCTTCCCATCCAGTATTCTTTCTGTTCCACCTGCTTCTAAAGGAAGAAGCTCTGAAGGCACCCCAAGATGAAAGAGCAATCAAAGCCAACAAGAGTGCCTTGCTTGGGTAGTGGTTAAAAGCACAGACTTCAAAACCTACCAGATGGCTCAGAGGGGAAAGGAGCCAGCCACCAAGCCTGCTGACCTGAGTTCTATCCCCAGAACCTACATGGTAGACAGAGAAAACCCACTCCCACAAGCTGCTCTGTGACCTCTACACATGTGCCATAGCACCCACATACACATACAATCCAATGTAAAATATTTTTTTTAATTAAAAAAAGGGGCTGGTTTGAGCCAGGCATGGTGGCACACACCTTTAATCCCAGTACTCAGGAGTGCTGAGCCAGGCGGATCTCTGTGAGTTCAAGGCCAGCCTGGTCTACATGGTGAGTTCCAGGATAGCTGGAGCTATAGGAAGACCCTGTCTCAAAAAGACAAAAAAAAGGGGGGTGGGGGGCCCTGGAGAGATGGCTCAGTGGTTAAAGTATCTATATTCGGTTCCTAATGTTAGGTAACTCACAATGGCCTGCCTGTAGCTCAGCTCCAGGGGATCCAACACTCCTTCTGGATCCCATAGGCACCCGCACTTACACATGTACATACCACATACACATAATTAAAAATTAATAAATATTTGATGTTGGGCATGGTAGCACACGCCATTAATCCCAGCACTCAGGAGGCAGAGGCAGTCAGATCTCTGTGAGTTCAAGGCCAGCCTGGTCTACGTAGTAAGTTCCAGACCAGCTGGGGCTATAGGGAAACCCTGTCTCAAAAAGATCAAAAATAAAATAAAATAAAATAAATAAACAAATAAATATTTGAGAGAGAATGCAGATACTAGTGTTCAACAGCCTGGGTTCAAATCCTGATGTCAGCACTTCTGATCCACGTGACCTCCGATAACTGGCCTAACCCTAGGTTCTATTTCATAGGGTCTTAATGAGAGAACACTTATCTGCTTCCAAGCTAACCTCCCTGTCCTTATTTTTATTTCTGTGGTGCTGGAGCCAGAGGTATGCCCATTTCATTAGTAGCAAAAGCTAAAATCTTTTCACTGATCTTCAAGCCCCTGCAATCCCTGAGGCCAGGCACTGAAAAAAGCTGCTTCCTAGCTG